GGTCAAAGGATCAACATATAATACATTGAAAGATCAATACCCAAAAGAAATATGCTTCAAATAATTTTAAGAATGAAACTCTAGCAAACTAGCATTTGGAAGAAGAAAATAAGAAATTCAATTCTACATCAACTACCAATGGCAATTCACTTATACAAAGATTATTGAGTAAAAAGGCAGAGATTTGGGCAAGGTTCACTCCAGACAATGGAGTAACGAAACTCGAACAATAATGGAGAAAGGAGGAAGAGGGCAGCTGAACATTACTATGTCGAAATAACTTGGATATACGCACTTAAATTAATCTTAGTATGCTTAAAGGGTGTAGATAGTAAGGACGTATAAGTGAAAAATAATTAGCATAGTAGAACACTTTTACATAGAAGATTTAACACAAGGAACTATGCTCCAGCAACTTTGAAACAACCTGTTTATTGATTCATTTTATTTTTTCCGGTTTTAGTTAGTAAGAAACTTGAAATACATTAACTCGCAAATGCAAAACAGCAACAAATCTTTCTTAGAATGCAGATTCTATAAATACAATGACTAATATCGATCTCTAAAGGACGGAAAGTAGACAACTCAATTCATGCCATTTATATTAACGGAAGTAATAAATAAGTGAAGGATATCATACATCAAAGTAAAGATGAAACCATATATGGAAGATGATCTCGAACTAAACAAAAAAATATATAAAAAAAAATAACGGAATTGCTACTCACTGCTAATAAGACAAGGTAACACTAACAAGAAGATTTTAACAAGGCAAAAATGAATTAGGGACTAAAAGGAATTCCTAGATTTCGAGCAAGTCAAACCAAACAACAATATTCAAAATAGGCAAGCTTTGTCACTAGTTTGCAATCGAAATAAGTAAAAAAAAAAACGATTTGGAAATTTTAACATTCAAATGCTTCACACAGTTGAGGATCCAACATATCAACACATCAAGAAATAAAAGACATGAACCGAAATAAGTCTTACCTTTCGAATTGCAGCGAAATTAGGACAACAACGAGCTTGAAAGGGCGATTCTTTTACCACAAACTTTGAATACGAACGACAAGCTAAGAAAATCCGAGAGTCATTCTTTTGTAAGATATTTTTCGTATATGACCACAAAATCCAATCTTTTTTCCTCCCCTTAAAATCACTAAGGGAGAGAACTATTTATAGGGAAAGATGGACGATTTAGGGGGTAAAAATCCGCTTGAATTTTGAATCTGCCCATTTCTTTTCGAGGCAACAGTGAAGGGATTCAGCAAATCCCAAAAAATAGGGGGAAAATAGACGTGAGGGTGGTTGGACGCTGCAGGCGAGGGTTATGGGTTTGCAGAGTAGTTGGACAAGATTTTCGTGTTTGTAGCTCAAATTTGGCTGTTGTCCGCGATTTCTGGGTTTGGAGCGTCTTGACTTTTGGTTCTTGCGTTGAGGAAGAAGGAGAAAAGGGTCGGGTCGAATTGGCTGCTGGATTATTTGGTGTTTGCTGGAATTGAAATGAAATTCTTTTGGTATTGTGTTGGTGGGTTGGGTTCTTTAAGTATTGGACTGCATGGAGTTTATTGTTGGGCTGTTGGGAATGTTGTGGGTGATGGGCATTATAATGTGGGTTGGGTTTTGCTGGAAAATTGTAGAGCAACTTACAAAAATGACTATATAGGGTTATTGAAGTTCAATAGCTATAAGTATGTTATTTATAAAAAATAACTACAATTTATATCTTTTTCTAGCTGTATTTCTTTATATGTTTTTATTTTTCTATTTATACACTAATACAGTTTTAATTACAATGAACTAAATAAGGAACATGTATTAATTGTGTAGCATATGAATACATTGAATTCAAATTGGTATATTTATTTATAAGACTTAAAGTATTAATATATCAAGAATACAAGTATTTATAAAAACGTAATGTATTAATATATCAAACAAGGTAAAGTATGACAATTAACATATGAACAC